TGTTGCCAGTATGTAGGCTACGATGCTCTCGTTGTGTGATAAATGTATCTCATTAGATGTTTTCGTATGTAGTATCGCTGAGTGCTGTATTTTGACGAGCCCGTTGGGTCCGTAGGGCCCGTTGGGCGAGTCAAATTACAAATAAATAGTAAAAATAGTCAGCACTGAATACTTCACCCAAACTGCTTTATTTCATATATTTATTTCTTACAAGGTGGGAAAAGCAAAGCAGATAGTGATATTTGCAATCGATTTGCGCGTTATTTGTACTTTACCGAGTGGAGTATTAGAGAATTAGAACAAATTGTCACTTTTATAGGCATTTTCAGTCCATGTATGCCATATGGAAAATAAACTGCAACTGCAAATATCACGAAAGCTGTAAATTAATCATCACTTGTATTGGCATTTTCATTCTATGTATGACGTATGAAAACTAAACTGCAACCGCTGGCCTCAGAGGGAAGGGGAGGTTTCCCTCTCAAGTTAATCACGGCCATCAATCACAACATAGTCATATTCATCATCCAGCCAGTGATATTGAAATAAGTAAGTTATATTTTCCCCTTGCATCACATACATGGAAAGAAATGGTCTTTGCAGGTGAGCTGTGATTAAAACAATTGCAGGAAAGTTGCCTGAAAAATTTCAGGCTTTTGGTGGGTTTGAAAACTTTGCCTTCCAGGCACTAGTTGGGTGTTACTATCTACTGAACTATAAAGGCACAAGTTGGGAGTGGGGCAAATTTAAGAAGGAACTTCCTTCATGGGACGGAATTTTACAATGAAATGAATAAATGACCTTTTGAGAAATGGATGATCTACCCGTAATTAAATCATTTGATTGTGTAAGCTGCAAACAAAGCAATTGTAGAATAGAAGCCTAGCAAATTCAGGCTACAAAAGGATTCAAACTCATGCCTTCTGGATAATAGTTAGCACTTTCTCAATTTGCCTGAATTTTGTCAGGATTTTTTTCTGAAATTACTTTTATTAATTGCAACCTATGTACAAAGATCATTTTCTTAACAAGTGATATAATTTCAAACATTGAGACATACCTGGAACAGTGAAGGCAACAAGCTACAACACACAGGATGACCAACACAGAAAAGCTGATTGGAATCATAATATAGTTTAATTTATTATCACTTCTGCCTCCTGATTTGGTGTTCAGCGTCACTGATTTGATTTCAACTCCTACCACAGATGAAATTTTGTGCTTGAAATCTTGTACAATTTTCTTGAGAGTTGTTCCTGGAACCACACTGTGGCTATCTTGTTGAGTGTCACTTCCATCTGGTAATGTCACAAACAGCTGGATTGAAACATCATTTTTTTCTTGTTTGGGAGATTCAGCCAACTTTGCATTTTTGGTGGTAAATTTTCTGAAAATAATCATCAGCTGTTAAGCTTTTCGGGCAAGTGAGTGAAACAATCACTGGGGACTACTTACAAGAAGTTTACAGAGAAGATTAATTTTAATCAAGTGTCAAAAAACCAAAACAAAAAGTATAATCATTGTTAACTACTCAGTTCTGTAAAACAAAAGATTCTTTATTCGTGCACACACTAATCCAAGTAATAAAAATGTAGAGTCAAAATTCCCCTGTTTTATACCTGCAGGCATTTTGCATATAATTACGGTCACACTACAATGTACACTAATTAGCAACGATTCTGTTGTGATAAATCTAAATGGCAGCGTGAATTTCTGATTGTGCAACAATCATAACAGCCACTCAGAGTCAAAGTTTACAATGACCCTTATGAGCCAATGAGTGGCAAAAATAAAAGAAAAGCAATGTGTGGGAAACTTATCATAAACTGAACTGCTTTTTGTCTTAGTTCTGCATCTCAATTTTTGAGGTAGTGGTGCAATGTTCATGCTATCCTAGATAAACATTTTTTTTACCTCAATTAGAAATTTGTCTATGGAGAGGAAAACAACTGAACTTCATTTCAAAACGCTCTTGAAACTGACAGAAGTTCCACTGTGATTTTTATTTTGGAAATCTCCATTTCCCCCACAATACCTTGAGTCATTCCAGAAATTCAAAGAACACTGGTTGGGACTAGAAGAGCAGTACAAGTTAACAGCATCCACTGTGCTTTTCTGAAGAAGTAATGTTTTATTTCCAGCATTCCAATCAGATATGGTAACATCTTCAAATAACAATGCAACTTTGTTCTTTTGTATATCATCTGTAAGATTGGAAATTTGAGATTAGCTGATAAAATATAGAGAGTGCGTAATAAAATGATATACTGATGATCGCAGTTCTAGAAAACAAAGCTCACTGAATTTGGCTCACCATGGGAGAAAGGTATTATCATTTTCACCCTAAAGTACTTGGAGATATCAACTTATGACTTCTCCTTACAATATAAGTACATTGCAAAGCAGACAGGTAATGAGAATTAAATAC